AATAAATAACAAATAATGAAATTATTGTGTGGACTATAATTATTATATTTGCAAAATTACATACATTTTAGAACACAAAATGAAGAACATAACAATTGGTAACAAGTGGAGAAAATAATGAACAATTACTGCCAATGTTTTATTAAGAAAATTTATGCTTATTAGAAATTCCCCTTGTTACAGAAAATCCCCCTCTATTTTGATCTGAAGGGGCGACAATCCCCCTCATAAATACAAAGCTGGAGAAAACACTGTTACTGTAGAATACTTTATTTTCGCTTGGAATTTATTTTCGCTATTTTCGCTGAAGGAATGATTCCGTGAAAATAAAATCCAGCAAATATACTTTTTTCCTATATTTTACATTAAACTCATCAAAAATCAGTGAAAATAAATTCCAGGCAAAATGCCCAAAAAGCCTTTTCAGCGAAAATTAATATCAGCGAAAATAAAGTATTCCACAGTATAGTAATTAATTCATGATAACCATATGGCCATACATAGTAACACTACAGATACACAGGTAGAAATAGTGAGATTCAATTTTGACCAATCAATGTGATCAAACCTATATGGTTATTCTAGAATTCAGGTATTACATTGAAATTACGGATATGACTTTTAACAATACCGAAAGTACATGTACAATGACATTGTGTTAAGATACAGGGAACCGACTCGGCGCATGACGACACATAGGGGACACTCGCAGTGATAAAGGGACGATAACATTGTCGGTGTAAATGGTGGGGTATATATGTGTCGATACAATTACGTAACACAAAATCGTAATTCGTGGAAATGAATTATCAGTCAAGAAAATTGCATCATGCTCGTTTTTATTGCCAGCTGACGACGATGTGTGATCAAAGCGTTATGAAGTCGGGCAAATCCCAGCCACTCAGACGATTGCAGTAAGGTAGAATGACGAATAACGACACCCGGTGTTTATGACAATTATAACTATCGCCCAGGAACCGTTACTTACCAGCGTTGCGAGATCCTGCTTCGCAAGATGTGGCTGACCCATGCTTTCGCCCGCCATGTTGAAAATTATATGTGCCTCGTTTTGAGTTCGAGTCACTTTACTATGCCGCCATCAAGTGGTCGGCTACATAAGTTTCCTTCTTTTTTAATACCGTGGCCGTTGAGGTTTGTCATTGGACTTGTTACTTACTGTCTTGAATTAAACAAATCCCTTTCTTCAAGAAATGCCTACAAAGGCTCGGCGACTTATACGTAGCTGTTTGGGTATAACGGTAGCCGTGATATATAGTAATACAAAAGTAAATTGCAACGGGTTTGCTACGTACATCATGTCAAGATCTCATTCAAGTCTCATCTCGTAGACAGCGAGACTCAGGATACAAGACTCGTGTCGTCACAGGAAGCGCTGTAGAAGACGCCGACCTGCAGCGCGCAGCGTCAATGCGACAAGACTGTCAACAGTCGGTCGTACCTAATATTAATCTATATTATTAATATATATTGTACGTAAACGTAATAGACGTAAATAAATTGAGAATGCCGGGACAGGAATTATGGAGTACCGTAAGTCCCCCGCTTGAACTCCTTTACATTTCCCCGGCCTCGGCGTTTGAATCTGTTTGAATGTTTAGAATACTGTACTGTTGTTGTAATTGCATTAGGCCCGAGGACTGTCAACAGCCTATAAGTACCGACGGTAATATATATTATATACAGGATCTTGGAGTTTATATTATATAGACAACTGCAAATTCCATGAACACGTCTCTCGTATGGTCTGCAAAACATCATCAATAATGAAATTCGGTATTACAACTTTTGATAATAAAACCAAACATTCCAAAGCTATTTTCAATCTTGGAACGATCTCTCTTGTAGTATCCTCGGGGGCGGACATCCGGGCATTTTCACCGCCTGGCAACCCGCGGCGGTGAAAACAAAGGGCCAAAACTCGCAGAAAACAGTACTTTGGGATGATTGTTGAGACTCCCCTGAACAGTGTAACAAGATTAGCCCTACGTGTGTAACATATATAAATTTGGTTGTTCGGGATTACTTCAAAGTTGAGTTTGTGTTGTTTTCTCGAATTTTCACCGGCTCGACCGGCGTTCCACAGCAGCGCGCACAGAGCCCATAGAAATGCGTGGTACAGTGGTGCGCGTCTTAGCAACGTGGAACGTCTGTGACGTAGCTCCGCCCCCGAGGATTGTAATGTTGGATGGTCGCCTCGCTGTCAAATGATTGGAATTCCCTACCAGAGACAATAATGTCTTCAGTTCCGGAGCAATTTATTTTCAAATTTTACTGAAACACTCATGGGATCCCAGGGGATCAGGGATTGTGACAAATTGAATGTTGTCTGACAATACGACCTCTCTTGTGTCAGTACGACATCTCTTGTGCCAGTACGACCTCTCTTGTGTCAATACGACCTCTCTTGTGTCAGTACGACATCTCTTGTGCCAGTACGACCTCTCTTGTGTCAATACGACCTCTCTTGTGTCAGTACGACATCTCTTGTGCCAGTACGACCTCTCTTGTGTCAATACGACCTCTCTTGTGTCAATACGACCTCTCTTACGTCAGTACGACCTCTCCGAAAAAAAAGTGGGCTTACCCTGTTGTTTTAAAAGTTCCATCTGGACCAAACACACATAGGCGTTCGATCAGAACGAGAAGACAGCATATTTCCCTTAGAGTCAAATTTAATTTGTCCGCGTTTCTCAACAATAAGGCTGTTTTAATTGTTTTGCATTTAATTTTTAAAAAGTGGGATAATTTTTAATTTCAGTGGAAAGGAGTTTATTTTATTATACAGAACATTCACATGTCCTACCTATACCAGCAACGTGTCCCCTCCTAAAACTATAGAGGTATTTTGACACGTAAAGTTATCTAAACTTTCCAGAGAATGTTTTGTGAATAACAAGACAAATCCTCACATTTAACATACCAAAACGAAAGCCATGGCAGGGGCACGTAGATTTGTGTTTAGTCAAACTGACTGAAAATCCTAAAATCAAGTTGAAATTAGTATATTTCTCGAAATAAAACTACAATGCAAAATGTGTTGTCATCTTCATGCTCGGTATAAATTGTCACGTGACTCATCCATTTTAAAGACATGTCTGTTCAGTGTTCACGGAATATCAGTCGTTATCCTATCAGTCGTTTTTTCTAAGTGTCTGTTTGGCTTCCGTGCTTGCCTAATGCACGGCAGTTCGTTATAGTGTTGTTGTGACACGGTAGTAATAAGCAATACGATAAAATAAACACGTATTGCATAGCCATAAGTCTATCTCCCAAGGGATTTTGGGTATCAAAATACTAGTACTAGATACTAAAAATTGTTGTTATTGACACTAAATGCATTAATCTCATAGAGGAAAGAAGTAAATCATCTGAAAGTACGTGATCCATCTAAGGATGGTTGTTTTCAAAAAGACGTCAGAAATAACCAAAAATGAGAAAAAAAATAATCACTAAAATAAGAGAAGTAAAATGTTCGTAATGACAACCAAATACTCAAATCACCTGAATATAAAATGTCAAGGCGTTTTCAATAAAAAGTCGAAAATACAATTTTTTACCAAAATTGACAGAAATATTGACTAAAATTACAGAATTGAAGATATCGTCACAAAACGAACAAATCTGACTGAGGTCCACCCAAAGTGTCTACACATAAAATATATCAAAGCAATTTGGTATTATAAATTTGTACCAGAATATACCAATATTTATCAAAATTAACGGTTTGAAGACATCGTCATAAAATGAACAAAACTGGGGAGCCCCCCCCCCCCTCCGAGGTACTTATATATTAAATATCGAAGAAATCAGATCCGCTGATTTCAAGGGGAATTAAAGAAATATATCACATTTTACCAAAAATGCCAAGAATATTTATCAAAATTGAAGTTATTTTTACAAAATAAACTAATCTGTGGTCTACCCAAAGTACATACATGTATATATAAAAACAAGCATATTTACCATTTTCAAGAATGTAAAGTCAAAATGTAAAGTTGACGCCAACGGACGACGGCGACAATTAGTAATATGAACAGCTCCACTGTGTCGACCAAGTTAACAGCGGAGCTAAATAGTCGACGCAGACGACGGACAATGAGTAATATGACGACAGTGGACCTAAAAAAGCTGACAAATATAATTAATGAAATTGGCAGTCAAAATAAACATATCAACCAATTTTGTAATTTTTGGTAAATTTCATACCGCATATAATTAGACAGATTCTAAGTGAACGAAATAGTAAATGTATTTAGTTGACTGATATATAATTCACTAGTATATCAAACATGACGACTATTTCTATATGCGGGTTTTGGTCAATGTTCTAAATTTTGTTTAAGACAAACCAAACTAAGAAACTCAATTCATTTCTTTGAATTAATCAAACTCTCTTTTCTTCGGAGTTCAATACACATTTTCTGTCGTTTGCGCCCTCCTGCGACGACACATATTACGTAAATCGGTGTAAGGGACGCCCGGGCTGTTCACAGCGTCGACATAGTTTTGGACTGTAGACATTAGTCAATAACTAATAATGTTTTGATAACTGCACCATATTCTGAGGAACGAACACCAAAACAGTTGTCGATTTTAACGACATTGTTTATTTCATCAGTCTGTCAGTTTTACATCTGCATTTCGTCGACAGAGGGCGCGATCAGTAAGAACAAACAGTCCCACTCAAATAAAATAATATTTAAGTATTTATTATTTATTCACTTAATGATGCATTGTCATGAAAAATAACCATTATAGATGTAGTAGAGTTCAGGGGAAACTGAAGAGGTCAAATTTAAGCTTAGTTAAAGCAGGGGAGTCGTGACCTGCGCATGCGTCAGATGGCCATAGCGTGTCATTGTTTACAAGCAAGCGTCTACCCATGAGCCTTTGCGTTTTTAGCGTGTTATCGTCGCTTGGGACTCAATTATCTTTTTAGAATTGTATAATTGATAGTGAAACAACAACTGAATCAACAAAATGTTCGATTATTGCCAACTTTTAATGGGGACATCTTCTCCTCACAATGTCGTAGTTGCACATTTAGGTTCTTCATGATACCAGTGGAACTAACCTAAAGGGCGGTGGACGTCACGCCACGCATGCGCCAGATATGGGTCTCATATAAATAAAGATGGTGATTTTGACTGTTGCGCACACCAACGAGTAGAAACTCGTTGCTCAGGGCATGGCAGGTACTAACGTTAGTACCTTCCGTGCTCAGGGCAAGACTCTTGTGATTTCATTAGAAAATCGCATTGGATTTTGGGAAAGTAAATGTCTATCAACACAAATGTCGCACATGCTTATGTCAAGACAATATTCGTTACATTTGTGATGAGGATTTCAGACAACATTTATTTGATTGTACTGAAACCGCCTATGTTAGCTTTGCAGTATATCGTGACACGTGAGAATTACTTTCATTGAAATAATCATTTGAATATATAATGAATCAACGTTCAACACAGCTTTCCCATTAGTTGAGCCATCTGGCGACAATACGCTTTTTGTGATGTACGGTGGGTTTTACTACTGTAAAATCATTTCTTTCCGTTGTTTTTTTAATTTCACTTTATTTCACAATTTCACTGGTTTCTAAGTTCACAAACTTTGCAGGGTAATAATAAGTTTAATTGATATTTTAAATTTTAAGGTGGTTTTAATTCAGATGAAATTCAGATCATGAAAAATAGCCAAATTAAAAACCAGTGATTGATTTACAGTACATGTATATGCTAAATTATATCCCACACTGTTTTTGGAGGGGGGGGCAAGGGTTATTTTTGTTCAACGTAATTGCAATATTTTTTTGTTCGTACTACGTAAATTGAAAAAATAAATTCCGTAATTCTGTAATCACAGGCTAGACGTACAACGTAATCGATCAAATATTTTTTTCGTACACTGTAAAAATGTGTCATTTTTCTCGGTACGTACAAGAATTTACATCCAAATAAAAAAATCGTAAAGAATAATCCAGGGAAATTACATTATAGAAACTGTAAAACGACTAGATGACACAATTCACTACAAAATTGAATGTCAAGA